AACGATCTTTAACTGTATTATCGCCGGAGGGGTCTTACTCTGGAAGAAAACATGAAAATCCAATTATAATCTCCTAATCTTATGTTTTATTTTAAATAAAAAAAATACAGTATTCTATTTTCTTAAATATTGTACTGAATTCATATAACCAAATATCAGACTAGAAAATTCGTTTTTCGACTCCAGTTCGGTTTGTACAGATCACATGGCGCAATTAACAAACATTGTCTGGTAGTTCACTGTTTCTTGGCTACTTTTATTTTTCAACTTCTATTACATAAAATAATTTAAACTAAAAAATTGTCTAAATGAAGTGTATTTAAAAATCATCAGAGAGAAATCAAAATGTCAAGTTTTAACTGTTATGTGGTCAACTTTGTAGGATTCATTATAATCAATTAGGGCAAGTTTGTTTGTTTAATCGATAAGTATTGTTATTACGTTTCCACAAGATTATCATACAACATACAGATTGTCGAAAGATCTGAAAGAACACTGATCCGACAGAAAGGCATAATATGGCCATAAAGAAAATATAAATTTTGGGTTCAAATTGCTTCTGGACTCTTTATCCTACCAGGTTTTTCGATATCACTGTATTGTTGACAAATTATAATTTTAATGTTTTATGAAAGAGGCAAAGTTCTTTCACAAAGCCCAGTGGTTATATTAAACAATCAAGGTTGAAATAGAATATTCCGTTTCGCGCGCATGTATTCTCGTCACACAGAGTCGTTAAGTTATTTATGTCTCTTACTTTACGTAAAACTGTGCACATGCATCATGTGTTGGAATGCCACCGAACACGGCTAAGGTCAAATGTCACCACTGTCTGGAGGTGTAGACTTGTGTGAAATATGTCTACATCTCGCGTGTACGTGCACGGTCCCGCTCGCGCACCCAGCCACACGCAGGAGCGTGCAGTTGTCGATAGACCAGTCAGATGCCCGGACCTTTATACATCATCAGACAGAGTTGTTCACTACAGACCAATATCAATGCTGTTGGAAATGCCAAACGTTCTCAATAAATGTTCCCTTTGTTTGGTCTCTTATCATAGCTATATACGCAACATAGAAACTAGGGGATTTGCCTTCAAACTTTTACCAGGTAGAAATATCTGTAGAAGGTATTCAATGTTTCTAAAGAATCAATATACAAGTCTTTACATTTTAAGAATACATCATAAAAATCTATATGTTTGCCTGTAATCAATTACCTCTCTTAAATCCACGATTTATGTAGCATCAGGCTAATATTTTATATTTATGATACAATTTAAAATATATCAAATATTGTTTTGTTTGCATGAGTGTTGTAAATTCACGAATTAGTATTCTTTCATAGATTTTTTTTAAATAATGCATTTATTTAAAATGATAATTAGAAATTGTCAGATGTATCTTCTCATTTCTGTATAGAAAATGGAGGCGTATTACAATAGTTTACAACTAACGTTCGATAAAGGTTTTCCCTAAAGAATGCCATTGTGATATGTAATGTATGACAAATGACATGTTTGGGAGACAGCTCTCGGCGAATAGATGTGATCAGAACTGTGTCCATCTGTGGTGGTCAAGGTGAATTAGGACGTTATCATGTAATCACACAAGACACTCTAATTTTAGTATACCTTACGCAAGAATAGACACAAACACACAAGAATTATCTCCCCTTGTAGCTATAAACATGATCAGTGTTTATATGGGTGTGTGATGTTTATGACTCTGAAAGTTTTATTCTTCTAATAAATTACCTCCCTTAAGAGGACCGGTTAAAAATCTCAAGTTATAAAATGACGTTAATTGCACACAGAAGAACTACCCCTGCCACTGATTTTTAGATGCATTCATATTTGTATGCATTATATCCGAGCTTCCACTTGTTCATTTTGTTTACAGACACCGCGATACAACAGGTGAGACCCTACCCCAGAGAGGGAGGTTTCACAGAACCGCAGACCACGGATTGTCCCGTTCGGTCGTGGTTGTAGTCCTGTACAATACACGTGAACTCAATTTCCTCGGATAGTATGCGATGGATCTCCCGCATGTTGTTCACAGAGGTAGTCATCAGCTGCATAAGGGAGACCCTGCCTCAAAATGACCTTGCATTGGCCGTTGACGAGGCGAAACGCACGAACAATAAAATAAATATATCTCTGAATGGATAATCCATATATCAGTCAATCCCCTCTGTACATTGTCGGAAGCATCAATTTCGTAAATTTTCAACAAATTTACTTATATTATCCAGCTATCTCTCAATCCGGACATTTTTATCGAAGTTGGATGGGTCCTAGCAATGACTTCATCGGGATTTTAAGAAATCATTTTGGATATTATTATTTCATATTGTTTTGTATAATATGTGGGTATTTAATTCAACTCTGTGTTTTTATCTCACTATTCAAACACGTATTTATGTGCTTCTGGCTTTGACTTTGATAATGAATTCACAAACATATTATTTTCAATGCTGGCAGTTTCCATTTCTGAGACATTCTAATATCAAATATGTGCCGCTAGGTAAAAGTTATTTGTATAGTTGTATGTGATTATGGAGAAAAACTTGAATACAAAAAGTTATTTTCATTGTAGGGAAATGTCTTTATTCAATTCTATAGCGATGAAATAAAAACACAACTACCGTGATATACTGTTAGATTGGGTTTTGGGCAAATACAACAATTATATGTAAAAGTCCGGAAATATCCAGATCTATTTACATATATACGAACTACTCTGACTTCATTCAGCTTGTGACAGAAAGCACGTGTTAGTGATGTGTAGGGTGTGACTTTAACGGTCTGGTGTTGTTTACAATGGTCAAATTCTTGTTTACATATCGATAGTCATGTCCACATTCCGCGGGTCTTTGGCCGCCGTCCACCCGAGGGCCCCTCACATCTCGATATACTTATGTTTTATGGTCAGGGTTATTAGCCCTACGGCACAAAATGTGTAGCATCGACAGCTTCACATAAAGAGGAATGAAATCGAATTCTTCTTTGATTAACATAAAACGTAAGCCTCGAAATATTGATTTTACTTAAGCAATGTTTAGCGTACAATTAACCAGGTATGCTCGTTCTGTTATTGTTTTCGAACACTACAATAGGTAAAATTGTTATTATGTATCAACGAAGCAACACAAAACATGTTTTAATGTCATTAAGAAGAGAATTTGATTATAGTTTATAATCCTCAAACACCAAAATACCAGGCCTTGTATACTGGTGCTCGTCATGTCCATAATGGCATACCTAATTAGTGTTAAAGAGGTCCCCCGGGGGTTTCCGGTCTCTTTTGAACAGCCTGAAAAATGGTCAAATTAGTCTCGTTTGTTTCCGAGGTCTTAACTATTTTATAATCGTTAAAAGTGTTAAGTATGACGTAATTTGGAAGTGGCTCTGTTATGAAATAATCCATGAGGATTATTGATAATCCCTCATTAATCCAAAATTATGTTTGAAACGACATGATATTCATAATATAAATAATCGTAGTCATTTTATTTGATAATTTTTGACGCATTTCTAGATAAAACAGTGACGTAAGATATACGTTAAACCGCCGACTTAGACAGAGATTATAAGTCTGTTCAACTACATACAAGTCCCTTCATAAATGGAGTAGCTTTTGTCTAGGACGAAATTTATTCATGTTGTATCAAAAAGAAATATGTTCAATCGTTTATTATCAGTATATGTTTACAGAAGATATCAATGTGACTCTTTATAGTCACATAAGGATGTGCAAAAACAAGGATTTCAATCGTTTGTGTCTGTATGCTTTTTTCTGAATCCCAGTATGTTCTTACATTGTCAAGATTGTAAGAAAGACATCAAACCTAGATAAGACACATAAGAACCAAACTATTAATTAAACTGCATAATACAGCTGTCTCGTCGTCTAAAACTCGACCGAGTGATGCCAAGGGTCTTAATGTTAAACCTAGGAGGCGACGGAGGAAAATCCAAAGTGTCCGAAGATATGCACAAGCTCCACGATTCAGTGAAGTTCGTCATCATCATATTTTTGATAATTTTCAGAAGACCGTCAAATATATATGTATATAAGGTACCAAAATGATGGTTATATCATTATATGTAGGTAAATGCATGAACAATATCGTGTTCAGTACTTTTATTGTCTAAATATACGTATATACCGCGATGTATTTTTAATTCTAGATTATTATCACCGCGGACATGTGTACCGTTTAACTCCATATTTATCAGTAACAGGGAAGACTTTACTTAAGCGAAAGCCGAGAGATTAACTCAAATACTGACGTAAGTACAGGTAACTTACATACAGTGTTATACGGACTACTAGACACAGTTCACTCAACGATTGACCAACCCCTCTGGGGCCTCTTTGTAACGAATACACTTCATTACTCCAGTTTATGGTGTTCACGGTCCAGTGGAGACCAATGAAAACGTCGTTTCGCGGGTCGGTGTGGAGACCACGCCCCCTCGAGTAAAGTCACCGTAGTGGTGATATCGCTTGACTGTCGCTTAAATGTGTTAGCAAGTTTCACCATACAAGTTTGTAGACAGTTTGTCACTCGACAAAAGGGATTTAAAACACAACATTGCATTTTCCCAGGAATATACATTGATAGTTTTCAATAAATATAATTTATTGGAATTTTTACCTGGATGTTTTACCTGTGGATGTGCCGTGTGTACCTGTGTATATAGGTACAAGATATATATATATACACTTATCACCTCCATACATATACCTGTATGTTTACGTTTCTTGTTTCGTGACCTGGAAAACACAGTCATGCAGAGAAGAAAACTGTGCTCTTCTGCTCGCGGACGAGATACTCTATTTGTGTGTTAGTGGAAGTAGACGCCGGTATTGGGACAATTCACTATATAACGCGTGTGTCCTTAAAAACAGCGGATTCTGACTCGCAAATAAGGAGTAGATATAGTTTTAAGTTACTGATTCCGTGACTTGGATGTCCGGCATATATTTATAATGACCGTACACGGACAACGGTCAAGTTCTTCGGAAGCGCACATGTCATCAGCATTTACGACGAGCAGCTCTCCCAATGGATTTGATGTTAGTCCTGGTGTTTTCCCGATTGCTAAGATGAATCGTTCATGGAACGGACTAGTGTTTCAGGTATCGCCTCTGCCAAACGGCAGAATTCCAAACGGGTATATATCTGTCGAGGAAGCACAAAAACCTGATATTCCTCGGAGCATTTCCGACCCTTCGGAAAACGGTAGGAAGTATCCAACGCCGGATGGTTCCCGGTATTGTTCAACATTGAGCCGAGCGCCTCTGACAAATGGGTATCGTACATTGGATGGAGTTCGAAGAGAATTTCCTAGGAGTATATCTTATCAAGAAAATTATCATGGAAATGTACCAGTTCCAGATGTTTCCCGGAACTCCCCAAGTTTGAGTAATTCTTATTCTTCGGGTCAGTATCATTCCCAATCAGGACTAAATGATTCCGGAAGTCTTAACTCCTCCAGATATTTGGAAAGTGAGGAAGAGCCGGAGTATGTAACTTTGGACAATAGTTATGTTTTCCCGTCACGAGGGCAACAGAGTCCCTCGACATCCCCTTCCAAGTATAACCTTAATTTCCGGAGGAATCAACTGAACGGATCTGTCCGATCGGAAAACATCCGGATTATCAACAATCATATAGCTGCGGAAAGAGACCGTATAGTTGGAAATCAATTAAAGGAGAAACAGAAAACCCGAAACAGTTTGAAGAGAATCGCGGAAAATATTGGTGCAGTTTTGACACCAAGAGGAGGGTCAAAGATTGTGAAAGATGAAAATGTTGTGTTGGGGATGGGAAGGGCGCGTAGTAAATCTGTGGGAGACCTTAGGGAATACAAACATCAAAATGATGATGATGTTGGAGAATACTCATGTTGCTATAGTGACGATGATGATGGTGACGACTTTGGATTTCTTAGTTACCCTTTTGCTTCTTCCTCTCTTTCTTTAGCTATGAGCAAAAGCAAATCGCATTCCCAAACGCACGCGATTCTACCCAAGAAATGGCGGAGTAAGACACGACCTCTCCCGGGGGTAGCGACGTGTATGTGGAGCCCACAGGTTAGTAAATATTCAATTACATCACTATTAATTAGAATGTTCATTAAGTTATCGTACCACTTACTCACGTTTTCTGATGCAATGACGTCATAAGACGAATTCATTTAATTTTCGTCCAAATCATTTTCAAGAAATATACAGCAAATATGAATTTTCTGTGCACAATATATTATGAATTAACTTGTAACATCACTCGATAAAAATTGTTGGCTTTGGAATAGATGTACCTGCTACAAGCAGAGACGCATATGAATTATCATGGCGTTTCAGGATTTGAATAACTCATGACGGAAGGAAATTACAACATTATACAAATATATGCATGTAAGGTATTATATGTCGTTGGGAAGATGTCACCACATGACAACTAAACAGATATGCACTGTCATCGTGTATGCATGTCTAAGACATGTGCAAATTAATGAGAATTGTTGGTTGTAATTATGACACGCCTATGTGTTGTGTTTTAGAATTGTATTTCCTTGACTGTTTAACAAAGCAGCATACATTATATGTGTGATATAGAATTTATGTGGATAAAATGATAAGTCATCCATTTTTTTGATGTAGTAATGGTATTGAAGTACAAATTACTAACTTACTACAAATTTAAGGAGAGTCGGGATGAATTCTCGTGTGGGCGAAGCAACATCTCAGGATAGATATATTTGTATTGCCCGTACCCCCGGGCAGACAGTTTTAAATCGCTCAACTGTAAAGACCCCTCGTCCTGTTTATTTCACCTACACAGGTGTATCAGCGTCACACCTGTGTGTAAGTAAACAGATATGTCGGTTATGAAAATAGATTTAGGTCGTTTGATTAAAGAGGTAGTTATGCAAGACGAATCATCAAATGAAATTTAACGTTGATTGTTGATAATCAAATTCTCTCTTACAAAAAATGAGACAAAAACTACTAAAACTAATATGACATCATTTTTAGTGAATCCAATATGTCGGTGATTATGTATATATATAGGGTTAATAATATTTGTACATGTATATAAAACAAATGTTCTATATCTTAGATAATTTCATTTTATCCTTGGTGATACACATACACTAGATGTAGGATAGTGACATCTTTGATACATTATCAGTTTCTGATAAAAGATTTATGTGAGGCTGATTTCACCACATATGAATTTGTTTTGATACGACATCTGAGATTAAACACTTCCCAGGTGAAAGGTTACAACCCCTCCCCGTTTTACCTGTAAAGTAGGTTATTTCCGTCGTTACAGAAAAAGATTTACGACAATACTTAACACGTACAGACATCGATCTTGAGAGAACAACAAGAGAATACACTGTTCACTTATAGGACGTTAAGGCATTGATAAAGTTCAGGAGTTCTGCACCTCATAGGAAACACCACTGATACACACTACACCTCGTTGAAGACACCCTTTAAAACAAAAGCTACCTGTCTTCAGAAGAAATATTGTACTAGCTGCACGCGGACAGTTTCCTGTATTTCTTGACATCGATACTTAAGAAATCTTAGCCATAACAAAATCTGTTTCCGGATAAATTCTATCTTTCGATTAATGCCTGGATAAAATCTGTATTATTTATGGTACCTGCAACAGCTTTTGTGACATATGCTATTAACGGGGCCAAGTTCATGGGTCGTGTGCATTTCATGTAGCCGAGATTACGATCGGATCAGTCGACGATCGACTGACTTTATCGTACCGCCTGTCTGTAGATATCACAACAGTATACACTGATTCACCAGAACACAGGACCACAAACAAACTAAATATCAGGGTCGTTGAAATCGGTTTTTAATTTTCTTTGAAAAAATGCACTAATTAGCATGCAGGAGATACCGTTTTATCGGAAAACTTCCAGATCAATGACTTCGGAGATCTGATTTTCCACCGATGTCGACCTCGAAGTCCCTCTTTTTATCACGTGACTTAGACTCGATTTTGCACGCAGTTTGGAATTTAAAGATTCTCAATGAGTAATACTAAATTACTATACAGTGGGTACGATAAAGAGTTATGTAAGAGCTTGTCTGAAAACAGTGTCGTGTTTTCTCTGACTTCGTTTATCGGTTGGAATCCATTCCCTAGCTGTAGTTGATTGCTTATTAATATAGACACCTCTTACTACAGTAGGATACCTGTATGTAACGGTTTTCATTTGATTTCCTTGTATCTTTCACCTTATCGCCGTACAAACAGTTTTATCAGTAAATGTTTACATATACACGTTTAGTATTGACTTCTTATCGACCTGATATCCACCCGAGAATTCTGCTCCGCCTTCACGTAGGATGACGTCACATCCTGCCAGACTGTCGTGATATAACATTACCGCTCGGCGCCCTCGGACATGTCGCGCGAGACTCCACATTGCCTTACAATCTCCATACAAACTGATATGTCCGATAGACTCTCCACATGTCCAATGTTGTCCACCTCAGGAGGAAGCCATTTACTGATATAATCATCACACACGACAACTTAAAACCGTAGAAGGGGACCGTGGGAACCTATCTAGTATCTATTGGTATAAAAATATTGGAACATTCATGAAGGACTTGGGATAAGATATTTTATTTTGTACGAATCTTCTGGTTCAATACAAGGCAAAGAACCTCTTTGTAACGGAAACACCAATTATAATTAATATGCACACCAAAGCGTATAAGATTCTCTTTCTCCTTCTAGATGTCATTCTTTTCTGACCATTACATCGTTACAACACCACTAAAAAATCATTTGTCCATGACGATATACTTTAGAATAAATGGGTCATGGGGTTGAGGGTCAGAGATCCTTGTTTACATAGTTTTATGATATGTTCGGGTTTCCTCTGGCATTTAGAGCAATCGGAACCTCTATGATACATTTCTTGTTGGAAGTGATTAATTTACGCACTCGGGAATCTTCTCCATTACCACGATGTGGCAGGTTGACAATAAAACCATGTTTTCTTTGATACGACATGTTTAAAGACACATATGTGGTCGGGACTCACGTTTGCGCCGGTCGGAGATGTCATTTTATCAAACTCAGATGGTATAGTGCTATACGATCTGTTGTGGTCAGACAGCTACACTATGGGATGGGATGCCTTAATTATCTGTTTATATCCAGTTGTTTTGATACATTTCTATTCTCGCACTAACCAGATGATTCGTTGATCCTTGAATATATAAACTAAAACTATTTCTGTAAATTAGAAGGTTTTACCTACAGCGAAGAATTTGTTCGTCCCGACAGTCGCGAACCATACTGTTTACAAAAACCGATACCAACACATAGGAATCTTTTATGCGTCCTCCTCGGTATATTTTGAGATACGTATTCAGCGATCTTTCCACTAGTCACCTACCTGTAAATTACCTGTAATTACCTGTTAATTAGCTTGACTTTTTGTTATCAATCCATGGGTTTCAGGATAGAGTTACTAGAATGTGGCATATCTGTGAGGGGCCATGACCTGGCCGAAAGGTTAGCAGACCCGGTGACTAATTTCACATGAAAACTAAAAATTCCACACATTTTTGTTTAAACCTTATCTATACCAAAGAAGATCGCATTTCTCACACCTGGATATTTGAATACCTGTATGATTCACGTGTGCTCATGCCTAGGATCAAACAGGGATAAAACGCATCCCTTAATAATGATTTGCAGATCCTGTTAGGGTACTACCATTGCGGGGGTTACTTATGTACAAAACAAAGTGGTATTGTTGTGCACTCTTTGAAATTGATTTTCCAATCTGTTTCAAAATTCCTTCATTACTATGGATGTATCGACTTCGAGATACAATTGTACACATGTGTTCTGCAAGAACAAAGGACTTTAGGGGCAACTGTTGTAGTCAAATCGTGATAGACATAGAGTGAATTCTTGCCGATTTGAAACAGTTGATCCAATTTGTTTAAAATGGTGACTACGCGTGAATGGACAGGTGACAATGTCATTTTTTGAAGGATTTCTGTTTGTTTTAACAGTTTATTTTAATTCGGTGTTGACACTTCTACAATAGAGGAGAGGGTCACGAGGCGGGAGGTAGTCAGTGTCTCTATCTTGGCAACCTTTTACTCCTTGTCCCCATCCTAACAGCCCGTCAGACACTAAACATGTCCCAGAGACGGTGTAATACGCCCCTGCATGTCCGTCAAGAAGACCTGCTAAGTGTCACGAGAGACAGGAGGTGACCTGTTTTCTACAGCTGTCCTAAAAGCTTTAAATTCTCAATAGATAGCAAGCATCACTGAATATTTTTTTTATTGGATTTGGTTCATTTTTTCATCTTCTTTTTAAAAATTAGATTTGAATACCTGATTGGCAATTCTGACCTGTCGCGTCAGCTCTTAATGTCACTTATAAATGTTAAGACTGACTATTTGATGTCAATAATTGTACCTCTAAGCACTTAAAGGTTTTAATGGATTATCCATATGGTTTTAACATATGTATTTAATGTAACCATATCTACTGCCTAAGACGACCCTGTTGATTTTATATTGAGCTGAAACTGAAAACATCTTTCGAAAAAGAAAATTTGTATATGGTTAGAGATCTGTAAAAAAACCAATTTATTGATGTATATATATATATATATTTATAATTTGATCCCCCACAAACACAATTTATCTTCCCATGATAGTTGATCTCCCGCCCTTCTCACGCCGCATAGAACCTGTCGTGATGTATATGTATATCTAAGTCTTAAGTTGTATTTCAGGGATTTGTTACCTGTATTTGTTTACCTGTTTGTTTGACAGACAACATCCCGGACAGTTTGGTATGTTAGTATTGTTTTAGCTTTACCTTAATCTTCCTTGACACAAATATCACACTACCCAGCATGTCAATAAAACTACAAAAAGAATCCCCACATGGACCTGCATTGTTTTATCAGGGCATGTGATTACGCCATGACTTTGTATAACCAAAGGTAGTTTCCGGTTCTCGGAACTTACTGAGTGCTCTATGATAGAATAGAAGTCATTGTACTCCTAGCTGA